AAAAACAAGATATGCTCCTAGAGTGCTTTGTCTCAATACGGTTTTAGGGTATTTCGCTGAAAGTTGACGTAAAAATTTGAGAAATAGTCATGGCTAATATTTTTGGCCAGCAATGTATGTTGGTACTGGTAGATTAGAAAAAGGTGATACGCAATCAGGACCGTTAGTGCAATTTTCTTTTTTGCAGAATGACCAAGTCAGCAGATTGCTTATAATCGCTAGTCTCCAACGCCGAAATGTAGGCGAGCACGTACTGCTTTAGCTTTGAGTCAGGTGAGTATCTAAAGCAGGAAGGGGAAAGCCCACCAGATGACGCGATGGAATGGTCGTTGGTGACTATTTGGAAAGAATACGTGCATGTTTGTAAATCACGAGCCTAAATACAAATATATGAGAGAGGAATGCATTGTTCTATTTTGAACAAGATATGAAGAATAATATTCAGTGCTTCAAAGCAGCGTGCGTTTCAAACCAGATCCATCTTAGATTTGATTGCCGCCTTCGGTGCATTATTTGGTGAGTTGCTTTGGGATCACACACCATTTCGTGACCAATTCAGCCACTCGCTTGTGATAGACATGACTTCTCACAAAAAGTGACGACATTCAAAGTATGCAAAATGTCATCAACACATTAGAATTTCCGCTGTGATTAAGGTACCAGTCGGCTCGATAGGCAACTGGGCGTGACAGAGTCAGTGCTTAAAGCAGGTATGGCTATCCTGGTAGATCCTTCTTTTTCAAGACTGGACTCTAGTCTGGATGATATGTAAATACCTCCAATATGTATGCTGATATAAAAAGCTGCTCAAATGTTCTTCATCACCTACCCCATAGTCAAAAACAAAATGTGCATCTAGGGCATACGATGACAACACGTCACTGCATATGCGCGCCAAAACTAAAACTTGGGTTTGTGTGCATTTAGGGTACGCCGCAACGTATAAACAAATTAAAGTTATTGGGTAGGGTGGACACTAAAGGCTTCCTTATTGTTCCGATCGTCGACGACGATGGTAACTGTTACCGCTCAAACACTTTTCACGTTGGCAAGCTTTTTCTACATCGGTAGAGTACTTCAGTCTTCATTCTTGCGTTGCGGTTATGATAACATGAGTGAACTCAGGATCACCTCACCCCCCTTATTCAGAGTGTGTGATGCTTCATGTCCCTGTTCTTAAGGCTTAGCTGCTCACAGCAGCGACACCACGGTGGAAGGCGATAGTGCATCCAATGACGCTTGGCTTTGACGCTCGCAAAGGTAATTTATTAGCGCATTCGCAACGCTGGTGAGCGTCTCCAGGCGCGCGATTACTACTTTCGGTCCTTGGGCCACCAGCTGACTTAGTATCTGGTACCAAGAAAAGCCGTGAGCTTACAAAGTGCATTTAGTTATCTCAGGACGAATCAAACAATTTTGTTTGCACCCTCTCAAAAAATTGTCTGCAAAGATTCGGTCTTCGGTTGACGACAAGTGCCACCAAGTCCAGTTAGGCTGCCATGCACCTTGCGCAGAGTTAGCTAAGGCTCAAAGAGTTAAAATTAGCAGCGCATAAAGAAGGTGTTCAGGCGTTTCATCCAGGGCTACTTAATAAAAGCTTGCTTTTCATTTTAAAAGTAACATGTATCAAGGTTTAAGTCTAAGAAATAATGTGGAGTTTACTGCAAAAGGTGATACAAATAGAAAATATTCGCGAGATATGATACAGTTGTTTTTTAAACACCATGGTTATTAAAAGTACGGGGAAGGTCAACAGCAGAGTCTTTCTTTTAGGCACATGCAGCAAAAGATGGAGTGGATCATTTGTCCTCCATAATTCACAAGCAGATTACCACATCATGTAGCTACCCGTACCACAACCTGGCAACTCGGAACTAGGCCGCTAACGCTCAGAATCATAGTCTCAAAGAACCCTAGCAGCTTAGTTCAGATTGTCGATCAGCATTTTTCCACTCGAGAACAGCACATCGGTTATATGCACCATTGACATCCATATACACATGCATCGTTTGAAGGATGTCACTAAATACCAATATCTGCATCGCTGTAGCATCAGTATCTGATGTGACCTTGCTTAGTGACTAGTTTGGACTGGATTTTTCTGACTTTGAGACTGTGAACCTGAGCGTTAGCGGCCTAGTTCCGAGTTGCGAGGTTGTGGTATGGGTAGCTACATGACGTGGTAATCTGCTTGTTGAGTTATGGAGGGCAAATAATCCACTCCAGATTTTGCTGCATGTGCCTGAAAGATAGATTCTACTGTTGACTACCCCGTATTTTTTATAACAATGGTGTTTAAAAATCAATTATATCATATCTCGCGAATATTTTATATTTGTATCACCTTTTGCTATAAACCCAAATATTTTGCTCTGATGCTGTTTATATCTTGTTGCTACGTATATTAATAGAGCTATGACGTGAGACTAGCGGCCAAGGTTCCACGGACCTCGTTATAATGGCGTGCCACCTTCCCCATCAATGACTATACTCTAAAATCTCTGCGTTTTGTACAATTGAAAATTTTACGTGCAAATTGATAAGGGACGTGCGCTGTTACATGTTGGGCTCGCCGAACGCCGTTTCGGCAAAAAGCCGAGAACCCTCTGCAGGATACAGCAATTTTAAATAAATTTTAGTTTACCTTGGTACTTAATATTATCGATATCTATCATGATACTTCGTTATCTAAATACATAGCATGAGGCGAGCAGCACGGATCTCCCATTCACCCTCATCCGTACCGAGTACTAATTAGAATACTCTATTCAGCAACCTGGTCACAGACTGTCCTAGGCGCAAACCATTCTTGTGTCAGGGCTTAGTATAAACACGATTCAGCATGAGCATTAATATCAGCCACCGCGCTAAACTTCCTACCCCAACTGCTAATTCAAGCGCATAAACACGGGTCTTGTGCTCGACGATATTCAAGCATCGTGGGTGAGTTTTTCTTTATTATATGATCCTCGAGTCTCAATGCACCACGTCCACCTTTTCCATAGGACGCATGGCTGTGCCGATTTATGTGGCCCTTTGGGATTTGAGCGACCACTATGATAATATCCATTTTAAACTCTGCACACCGTGCATATTTCCCGTTGTGGAATTCAGGTAGACACTCTACTATGGGGATGTCGATAAGGACAGTCTCCACTGCCAACAGATCTTAATGAACTCGTCTTGCTTGTGAAATTCTAGTCCAATGTAATGTAGTCGTTAGTAGCCATAATGAAGATCGCTGATATATTTTTAAGCATGCTTCAACGGACTTAATTATAATTAATACTTTCGTAAAATACTATGGCGGCGTCGAATTCAAGGTGGATGCTCACCACCACTAAATCATGCTGTCTTCAACTCGGCTCATTTCTGAAAAACTACAACAACCGATCAAGTCCTAACCTTCGAAAGTATCCAGGCCTCACTGGCGGTGGATGTCGCATTGCGCTAGGTGATCCCTTTCTTATCCTGGACACTAGCGACATAGAGTTCGCCAAGCTCTAGCCGACAGCGGCGCCCACGCAGTTATATAATTGCGGGGTTATCAAATCATATTGTTTTTGAATCGGGGCGTCCCTTCAACTATACCCGATGCTGGTTACAGCCCAGCAGACCTTCCAGCCCACTAACACAAAAACAAAAGTGGGCCACCGCTTGCTCAACGAGCAGAGACGATGAAGGGCGATCCAGCTGTGACTGATGCCCACGAGATCTTTTGATTATGGCGAGCCACCAACTCTTTGCAAAATATAGTGCGGCTGCAAAAGGGACTGATCGAGTTGATTTTTCGTCTTCAACTAAGAGCTTTACACTTGAATGATTTGTGAGAACGGAGCCGTCGTTCAGCTAAAATGAGATAACGTAGAATGCAGAATTTGCTCGTTTTCTTTTGGTATAGTACGCAGTGCGGTTTGATTTTTTGGCATGTTGAGAGTGCAGCTTATCTTGTTCTGAATACGAACTTAAACGGCCCGATCGAGAAAAGTCGCAAATTAGTAGTATATACTGCGAAACCTGCATGTTAAAATTGTTGAATGAAGCATTTCCCCCCAGTTAATTTTTATGTGGAGAGCCATGCTTTTGATTATGCAAAGCATAGTATTTCTGGTCTAATGACATTGCGACACGCACTTGGGTATGACGCTTGCCCCTTTGAGATGAAGTTTTGATTTTACTACGAATTGAAGTCAATCAGTCAGTCGATGCAATTTGACTCACTGTCTCTTCCATGCTGTTTTGGGGTTTTGTCACTTCCATGGTCGACGTATTTTCAGATGATGAAATTTTGAAACCTTTTGGAATTCGGCAGTCACAGCAATGTCAGTGTGATCGGGGATTCAAGCAACCACAAACCATACACGACCAAATTCCAGACTGAAATTTTTACTCACTGATACTACGAATGACAAATGTGGTATAATGAAAAAAACGAGAAACGCCCAGGTGCACTCCATGATAATTTGACATCTCGAGTTGTCAAGATAAAGCGACAAGATAGCCTAGGTGAGGCCTCCTATGACAAACGAACAGTGGCAACTTCGAGTTCGGTTTCTGGATTTAACAACTCGACCTCGATTGCGGTAGCGAAGCTTTTCAATACAAGGAGAGAATCACCGCGAAATATCTCTCGCAATGTATCCGAGGGAATTTCGAAATCGTCAGACTTCAAATTTTGCCCAGCGAAGCTCAACACTGCGAAGGGATGAGACCTACAGATAAGCGCCACAGTAAAGACCGCGACGTATCCTTCAGATCTCCTTTTACATATACGTAGACTACATCGATTACACGATTACCAGTTGGCAGGTTCATCTGATGAGCGTAAAGCAGGTTCATCAGCAGCTGCAACAATTTGAAGAGCAAGTTCTACGGCAAAGACAAGAGCAACGACCTCCATGATTGATCCGATCGACGAACCGCTTAGCAAAGAAGCCCTGAAGCCAATAACGTTGTTTTTTTCATGCGTGTAAGAGTTCAGTTTGTTTGGACGCTTTTGTCGTTGTAGAATCTTCCAAAGTGTAAATCAAATCATACTATTTTTCTTGCGGTCTAATGTCAACGATTCCATTAGTTTTCTGCATCATCTCCACTATCATAAACGTAAATTTGGCTGCCAAGCCCATATTTGGTGACGTCAAAATGACACGGTGTGAACTATTCCATTCATCATAACTGAAGGACACTGCCTGTAGAGACGTGTTCGGCGTTAATCAGCGCGAACTTGATGAGCGGGAGCTATTTCTTTGAGTACTGTGGTCGCTTTGAGCAAGTGATCTGGGAGTTATCTAAGACGACGCAATAATCGCGCTAACTGCGCCCCGTTGAGCTGTATTTTTGCAGATAACCCGCAATGAAAATGTCCAATATGGTGTCAAACGGTGAGAACAACATTTGCCAACAGTGGAGAAATGCGATTCGAGACAATGGTCACGGGCAAGTCATGCTGACAAAACTATATCGGCGGTCGTAAGCTCACCGGGACTGATGTCATTGACAGCAGCGAGATGTGCCAACTTGCTCCGACGGTCCACAAATATCGCGATAAAGGTATTTTTGGATGCTTCCTTGAACGACAAACGTTTTGCACGTTCTCACAAAAGTTTTTACTTTTCGGCTTCCAGTACATTACGTTCCTTTAATCGTGTGTCTTTTTGTTATCAAAAATTTACCTGGTAGGATATCACGTGCATCGTACAGAACTTTGTACTCGAGATCTTCATCATGCCGAACCATGCGGGCATAATGGACCAGTATACAAATATAGCAGGCCGTAAAAATGCAATGCGGTACAACTGAATGCGTTGATACAGCGGCATCTGACTTCCCCAACTCCTTGCTCTGGAAAGCTCCCAGCAGCTCTACGCATATTGCATCCGACCCATACGCGAAATGTTTCGCCTCGTCATTTTACGATATTATTATCGTGTGGCATGCGACGGTTTATTATATGGGCGATGAGATTGCGAATCTGCCTCTACATGATGCCGACCCGAATCAAAATTAAGCCAAACGTATACTTGACAAAGAAGAATTACCATTCTGTCATGCTCGGCGCGTTAGGTGGTGACGACGTTTCTATGCACAGCGACGTATCATCTGTTTAGATCACGAATAGTTTGGAGCCAAGCAGATGTACCCTGAACCTGGCAAGATCTTACTTTCAGCGATTAACACCCTATCATGAACGGGATAATCTCTCTGTGTCGATTAAAAGTGGCGAGATGCAAACGCGATGACGCCTTCATACCCGCTGACATTTGCTTGGAGTAGACAGGGCCAATGGTAATGGTTGACCGATTTAAAGAATTTGGTATCAAATCACTCATGGATTTCTTTCACTGTCGAAAACGCTGCCTCTTCTACTGCGACCCAGTACATTTCGATTTTTATCAATGTCTTCAGTAGACATGTCGTCACAAGTTGTACTGTACTAGTGCCGGTAGCTGGCCAGGCCAAGGTACTTCTTTCAGTTTCGTTGAGTCAGTGGAAGCTGTCAATCTATGAAGGCCTTGATCTTCGCGAAATCTAACCGCAAGCTATGCTTGGTAATGACATGCCCAAGGAATGAAGTCTCGTCGGCGCCAGAGTTACACTGAAAGAACAGTTTGTTTTTGCTCAAACTACCGAGCATCGCTCGCAAAGTCCTGGTACATCCGATTCCCCAAGTGACATGAACGTATTGATTGTCAAAATTGGTTTGTGTAAATGGCACGATGTGGTCCACACTGCTATGGTTAAGCGTTATACGTTTTTTCAAGGGATAACAGCCAGCTCGGTTGAAATACTCAAAAATGGCATCATCTCATATGCATTCAAAATTAATCATCAATTAGTCCTCAGAGATCAACGGTGCTGAACAACGTGCACATCCTTCTATGTATTGAGCTTACGCCATAATAGTGGAGGGGATGTCAAGGTTATCACATTTCGCATCATACAAAGCTCGAGGATGACGTCGAGGCTAGCACTCTCTCGCTTCCAATTTGAGCTTACATCCTCCCTTCTCGTACCCTTAATCCTGCTTATAAATCGATCGTCCAGGTCTCAAGCTGGCGGCCGGGTCTGAAATTTGAAGAAAGTCAGTCCTCATTTGCTAGTTTGGAGTGCGTTGCTCTGCACAACCCTGTTTCCTTCCCAAAAGTTAGAGACAGAGAGCTGTTTTGTCATACGCGTCAGCAAAGTATCGTGCGAGCGAGCGTAGCCCTGCCACTGTACTGGATACTGGGTACACCCACGCAGAAAACGTCGACACATGTACATTATCACATAGAAGTGGATTTGCCTTGCCCATCGAGTATTGCTCGAGCACTTCAAGCGAATATCTGCTCAAGTGTCTCCAAAGGATGCTTCGCATCTAATTGCCTCATGGAAGCGAGGTCGTGTTACGGCTGATAAACCCAAGTATAGCACAGTATGTGTTCGTATTCTCATGAGAAGTGTAATTCTTACGATTAAACCCTTTTAACAACAGCCGTTATAGGTCCAATGTATCGAGAGATGTAAAAATCAGCTCATATAGAATGCAGATGCCGCGTATAAATTTAAGCTTACAGTCTATTCCTCACGCTACAACTCTAGTCTTGATTGACTGCATCTGGTATGTACATACCAATTAAACGTATCCTGACCTTGGGGATCAACTGCTTCAAGACAAAATTGCCGATTTTGCTACGACGCTTTGCTAACCTGAAATTATAAGTCACGCCAATGCCCCCTGCCCAAGGAGCAGTGTGACGTCATTGACGCCTTTCTCCGTGTGAAGCAATCTCTATCTTCTAGAATCGGCACCACTTCATGGGGGGGGGCGTCAGGGAGATTAAACAAACAACCTTGACTCATGGTGTAGAGCCTGCGGAGGTAAAAACGGCGTAGATCGACGCAAGATTGATGAATGGGAGCATGTCTTTCTGGCAACTCACATCTGTGATGTGGATTTCCTCCACTCAGTAATTATTGTGTTTCGTCTGACCACCATCTATCCGAGGATGGTCTACAGTGGACGTGTCCAGTCTGGTGCTAGCATATTGATTATTTTGCTAAAGCCTGGATTTCAATCTGAGACGATTGCCACAGGGAAGCTAAGTCAGTGAAAGACTTTGTTGAGGAACAGCTTGGTAGCATTAATTGCTTACCCATATGTACATGTTGATTGTTTTCTATAGGGTCACAGGGATCCTTGTCATTAGGCGCCATCGTACGTTGTGTGTCAAGCGGATTCGTGCAAACGTAGAGCGGCGAAAACACGGTTCCAAATGCGTAGATAACGCGGTATCCGAAGTCAAGAACTCATCGCTTTCTTAAGGTGTATAAACGCAACATACATGTGTCTACTTTACACACCTTACCGTGATTTGTACTACCAAAATCCACAAGCTAGGATTAAGCTTTCTCTAGAGCGGGATGCTGGTAGCTATCCGGCCCATTTTGGGGCCGGGCTCCGTACTCCTCATTGCACAATGGGGCTTTTTCGGTCAGTGGGCCTTCTCCCACCTAGTTTTGACACACCCAATTCGGCACGGGTTGGCAGGCGGTCAAACGACGGATGATTGCTCCGCCACTTTAGTGACCTATCTCCGGTGTCTTTGATTCGAATCCTATGGGTATCGATCCAGATACCTCCCAGTCCAGCAAACCACTTGAGCCAGGGCTCGGTCCTACACCTTCACACGATGTGGACATAAATTAACTTATTTTAACACTCGTTTTTATACATCAACGCAGGTCGATTTGACTAAAATATTGGCATAAGTGCGGTGAAGCTACAGATATGTATATATAGCAAGTTAAGGACCCAAATAGCTCACAATGACCTGAATAGCTTTGGCATGACACACCTCCGCGACGGTTAAAATCACTTTACGTGATTGAAAACATGGAGACGTCTTCATCACCGAGATTGGCGGTATCTGGGCTCATACAGCAGCTGAAAAGCGGCGAGATTTCGAAAATGCAGCTTTTTCAACAGCTCGCGAAGCTTCAAGCCGGATCAAGTGCCTTGCCTTTTGCTCCTCCAGCTCCTCTTACGGTGAATGCTAGTTTGACATCCATGTTGTCGAATGATAAATTTTCAGAATCTTCGTCAAATATGGGATATGGAACTCATTCAGTGATAGGAACTCGTGCTTCCAATGTACCAGCCTCGTTCCCGATTCCTTATCAATTGAACCAGACTCCAGTAGCCACCACACCATTTTCTTTTGGTTCTGCTGTGGGTCCCTTTCCTTTTCCAAATGTATTGATTCCGGACTGTACAAAAGCTTCACATTCTTTTGGGATGAATCATGCACCACATTCTGCTGTTTCGCAATCAAAAGCCGGTGGTATTTTAGTCAAGAGTGATGCCGAAATTTTTGCAACCGGTGTTTCGCACGAAAAGGTAAAGCAATTTAGTGTGCAAGAGTGGATGTCAAGTAAATCAAAGATCCCAGCATCGAACAACGTTTTGATTCAACGTGATCAATCACACTCTCAAGTCGCTAACAAAGGTGTAAAAGTGTCAGATACATGTCATAAATTGTCCGTGGATAATTGTGGTGAAGAAGTGCCCGGAATAAGTGCTGATGCGGGCTCCTCACTGGACCTACTTTCGACTACTAGCAAATTGCTGGATTTTAGAAGAGCTGGTGCTAATACAAATGGAACAGTCGAAAGTTGGCCAAATCAGGGGCTTACGTCTTCAGCCAATATCCCGGAAAAGAAGCCTCTTTTTGAAAATAGCTCTGCTAACGACGGTAAAGCTGGGCAGCATTACCTTGATTTCACAGAGCAATTCAAGGATGAACGTGACGGCGATCGCATCTCGAATTGTAGCAGCAACGACGGAGGCAAAGGTGGAAATCGTAGTGTTATTGATGACCAATTTCATGCCCGAGTTACTCGCTGGAGATCTCAGAAAGATGCGATTCGGGAACAGATGAAGCAGCAACAATTGCAGTTAGAGCTTGATGAGTGCACTTTCGCGCCTAAAGTCAATCCGAAGTCGACTAAAGTTGTTGCAAAATTGCGTGAGCAGCAGGTATCGAATATCCTAACTGAAGGACTCACCGCCTCGCAAATTGTCTCTGAACGACTGTATCAGGAAGCGGATATTTACAAGACTCGCGAGGAGCTCGCATTAAAGCTTAAAGCGGACAAGGAGGCAGAGATTGACCGTCATTGCACGTTTAAGCCGAGAATCAACCCAGGAGAAAGAGTCAAGGCAAAATACATGACAGCTCAGGCATCACGCTCACCGTCGCTGACAGCAGCTTCGCGAGAAGCAGCTGCAAAAGAGCTTGCCGAGTGCACGTTTAATCCCAAAGTGAATGAAATTCGATCGGAAATGGTATCTGCACAGCTTTATTTACAGCAAAATATTTACAAGCGCTTAAGCAAACCTTGGGTTAGTGAAGGTGAAGACCAAAAGTTATCAGTTGGAGGGCGTAGTGAAACGAGAAGAAGTTTATCTTTCATTGGAGACGATGAAAATGAGGATTGGCGTAACTCTGATGCTTATTCGCTGCCATCATGCCAAGACGACATTTCATTGCGGCTCGGTGGTAATAGTCGACGTCGGCTATCGTTAAGAACTGATGAGGAGTACCACGGACCACGATCTGTGGATGCTAAACAAAGTCAAGAGATGAGAGAAGAGCGTGCTCGACAGTTTAAACAATTCATCGAGCGGCAGAAATTTTTTGAGCAAGCTCGACATAAGCGTATTGAACAAACAAAGCAACAGCTTACTCCTGGCTACAAACCAAACATAAATAAAAATTCTCGTGCAATGATGGGAAAAGGGCGAAAAGGTACTTTCTTACAGCGTGTTAGTACGTATGCGCGGCGAAAAGAACATGGAAATCTGAAAACAAAGTTCGTTCAATCGTCGGTAGGTGGCTTTAGAGAATGTAACATGCAATCATAACACTAACGCTTTCGTTATAGGATCCAAACTGTACTTTTAAGCCTGCAATAAATCAGGCAAGTATTAAGCGAAAGCCACGATCAATTATTGAGCTCAGTCGTGGAGATCTGCTACGACGAGAAACGGCCCAGCGGTTGATGAAGCTTAAGATGGAGCAAGAAGAGATGGCGTCGCTGACTTTTCGGCCGCAGCTGAACCGCACGTCTGAGCGTTATGAAGGTCGACTGAAAATCACATCGAGTCCCGAAACGTATCTACAGCGCGTAAAGGAGCAAACTCAAGAGAGGTCGATTAAGCAGCGTCGAGCAATTCAACAAAAAGAAATTGGAGAATTTAATGAGTGCACATTTAAGCCTCGCACGATTGAGGCTCCAGCGTACGTACAACGAATAGCAAGAAGTGTCTCTCTTACAAAAGCGTTTCGTGCTCAGCACGAAGCCTTAGCTCGAGCTAAAGAGAAACCTGAATGGAAGTAATGAAGCGTTGGAGGTAGTGATTTAGCTAATGAATCGCATGGTCTCCTTGAATTTAGTTGCAGTTGAAGCTATTTAGTCCTATTTTATGCAATTGTGATATTAATTTGAATGACGGAGCAATCTTCTCAGCGCTGGATATGCGGCGGCTTCGCGGTGCTTGTTTGCTTTATCATGCTTCTCGGTTCTGCACACAAACTCCCTCAGAGAGGCGCAGTTGTGATCAATACATGGCCGTTCGTAAATGCCACGCGCGCTGGCTTCCAGGCCCTTCAGGGACGTGGTGGTAATTCGTCTGCGCTCGACGCCATCACAAGAGGCTGCAATCGCTGCGAAATCGACCAATGCGACTTTACCGTAGGGTACGGAGGTAGTCCTGATTCTAACGGAGAGACGACGTTGGATGCCATGATTCTGGATGGCACTACGATGGAGATGGGTGCTGTAGCTCAACTGCGACGCATAAAACCCGCCATCAAAGTTGCACGCGCCGTCATGGAGCACTCTTCACATAGTATTCTGGCGGGAGATGGAGCACTGGCATTTGCAAAAATGATGGGCTTTGAAGAGACCACCCTGGACACACAATATTCCCAAGCATTGCACCAGGAATGGCTGAAGAAAAAGTGTCAGCCCAATTACTTTCGCAACGTCCAAGAACAAAACACATCGTGTCCACCGTACAGACCACTTTATGTACAGGATGGAGTGTATGCCGGATTCCAAGACCGATCGTTGCTTCGTTACAGCAACCAGAATCGTGTTGGTACCGAAAATCTGATATCCACTACCAATCACGACACTATTGGAATGGTAGTGCTGGCTGAAAATGGACACATGGCTGCGGGTACCAGCTCGAACGGGGCAATACACAAAATTGCAGGGTTCGTATCAATATTTGAATGAAACACATTTTTTATTGCTGATGAAGTCTGGTTTGCTTATCAGGCGTGTTGGTGATGCGTCCGTGCCTGGTGCTGGAGCTTACGTCGACTCAACTATCGGAGGTGCTGCCGCCACAGGAGATGGGGATGTGATGATGCGCTTCCTACCCTCATTTTTTGCTGTTCAGGAGATGAAAAAGGGCACACATGTTTGTTTCTTTTGTTTATTTCTACTGCAATGAATTCAGTACTAACTATTTGTGCATCCTTGAACGTAATAGCCACTTGAGGCATGTAGGCGTGCTCTTTACCATATTGCAGCAGTATATCCCAGCTTTCGAGGCGGCATGGTGTGCTTGAATCACTTTGGAGAATATGGAGGCGCTGGATTCGGGTGGGATTTTGCTTATACTGTGCAAGCCAGCTGGATGTCAGAGCCCCATGTTGTTCACGTGACTCCGCTGTCTCCTCCTTCGTGACGTCAGTTTCCCACAGAACAAGCGAAAAAGCTCATACGCAAAAAAATCGTTTATAATCATCAACTATTTACTAATGCCATTGTCCCTATTCGATGTGGAGAAAGTTAAGTGGCAACCTGCGTGACGAGCTTGATTGAAAGTGAATGAAGTTTGCAAGCGACACACAAGGCGTAAGTAAGTGCGCGAGATGTCATATCCCAGAAGCCAATTTACAGGAAGTACGGCACTAGCGCACGTTGGTCAAAGCCATCCGAGGACTCAGCAACCTAACATAGTCACACGACACCACGTTATAAGCATTAAATCAAACAACAGCACACAATGCTATAAATGCACTGATTGTACCTCGCGAAACAGCTTAAAATCACGCTCTAGATTGTCGTCAAACGACAGGATAGCTGCAACATTACCGCATCGGTAACAATAGTTTGGCGCTGACCAGACAGTGACGAGGCTATTATCAAACATGTACTTGTAACCTTCCTGCACGAGCTGATGTGCACGACAGATGAGGTCAAGTCCGTTGATCTGATTGAACTCTTGTGTTACTTTCGCACCAAACAGGTAGCCAGCACCACGTGGACTCATGGCCCACGTCTCAATATCCTCAGGATCGGACCACATAAGATCGCAAAATGATCCTTCGTGTGGTATCTCATGCTGGCGCTCTATTGTTCGAATCTGATCCAACGTACGAATCTCGGGCGACAAGCCACCGTGCACACAGAGCACACGTCCGTCAATGATGGCGGCCAAGTTGAGGTAGTCAAACACATCTGTACAGTACTTCCATGGGTTGGCGTTGCCGTACTTGCGCACACACTCTTCATAAAAGCCATAAACTTGTGTAATCTGCCGGCATTCGTGATTACCTCGCAGCAAAGTAATGCGGTCTGGGTAGCGAGCTTTAAGACACAGCAAGAGCTCGAAAGTCTCGACGCTGTTGTGTCCGCGGTCCACGAAGTCGCCCTATACAGTGAATAAACAACATATTAGCTAGTCTGGAAATTCCTTTACAAAAAAAAGTGTGCTTACCATAAAAATATAATTCGTGCTTTCGATGTCACCACCGCACCGGAAAAGTTCCAGTAAATCGAAAAATTGACCGTGAATATCGCCACAGACAGTTACGGGACTACTTACGGGCTGCACATTGGACTCCTCGATAAGTAGCAACTTCACTATTTCGCACACCTGTTTAAGCTCCAGTTCACTCAATACTTTGCCATTGCGCAAGTTTTCAATCCACTGGTCGGGGCCGCTACCGCTACTCGAGGGCTTAATCTCCTCCAACACCACGTCATTTACGCTTGTCATGTTAGCGCCCTCTACTATTTTTAATATTAAAATAACGATAGACTGGACATATTGGAACGTACACGAGCTACACATGAGATTTTTGAAGTCATCTGGAGTGATGGTCACATGAACTATTGTTAAAATTGCCGCATTGCACAGAGCAATAGCTTCACCGGAAAGACGTCTGCACGACGACAACAGAAAGCTATCCGAAGCAATACTCTCCATTCAATTCTAGTACAAAGGTCTAATGCTGGACGGAAAGCGGTGTCTCGGAAGACATCATACTGACTAAGCTGTGCGAAAGCGAGTATTCTGCACTGATGTCGCTTCAAATAATGAGGCGAGCTTTCCACAACGACAAACGTGGTCACTTTCAGTCAGAATGCGTAACGTGTTCTTATATCGCGATTAGACCAAACACATTCTAAACAATCGGCATGATGTTCAAGACAAGAGCTACGTATCGGCTGAGTCGGATACACCGAAAAAGTAGTAAATGTTTGAAGATCATACATACATAGCCTTGCATTTAGAAGGGGAACAATGTGAATTGAAGTGATCATTTAGAAATTCATTCAGATATCCGAAACGGCAGCAATGGCAGTATTCGCCAGTGTGAAGCGTTGGAGTTCATAATATTTGGTACTATACCTCTGCTATGACATTTTATACATGCGGATAGAGGCGCTATACGACTATTCTTGACTACTTTCCGTGCCATTATAGACCTTGCCGATGATGAGCACGTATATCCGAATTTGACATAACGGTAGAGCATCGTAAGAACTTTTATTTCAGAAAGTGGATTCGGCAGCAATACGTATACTGAGAACTTCGCAAAATTTGATTAGGGAATTAATATAGTGGTATACATCACGCTAAAATGACTGGATGATAAATATTTGTTTGTTCTTTTCTTAACGCTCTTTACTATTCATTATAGGCAATAAGAGACATACACTTATTTCTTTAAAAGGGTTCTGTTGTCTGCATAAAAGCCAGAAAGATTGCATCTGACGAGAGTTATGGAACGATTGTCACGAACTTTATTTGGTGACTTATTTTCGGCTGACATCTTCATCTACGTTTCGTCCATCTTTTTGACGTGGCTTCAGTATGCGTCATTAAGACGAGGGTCATCGTACGGCGTTTCGGGTGTATAACTTCCAGCTCCCACTCGACGGCAAGACACTTTCTCTTCACGTCTAAGACGTCACGCGGTCTGATTGAAAAGTTCTCAAGCTAGAAAGTTTCGCGCTTGTAAACCTGTCAAGTATTCGAATACGAAAGTCCGATGGAACTCGGGCCCGTTGCTACACCGCATAGCGGTCGAGTAAATTCTGCCGGAGATGGTTACAGTGCTAAGCGCAAGCTTGAGAGTGCACACTCGCTGTTCTCTCTTTCTGCATCATCGTCGCCTTCGAATTCCACTATCGTCCCATCCAACATCCCCAATTCCTCTCGGGCCAATGCAGCTGCACTTTTGCCAATCGATTCGCATCTTAAATTGCGACGGCGCTCTTCTGCAGAGCCTCCATCGCTGCTTCGCTGCTATTCGGACGGCAAAATGTAAAATTTGTTACACCTTTAGATGTCACATTTGGTTGATCATATGATGTTAGTGTGCCGGTACTAATAATGCAAATGTATTAACTTAAAAAGTCTAGAAGCGTTCGGAGAGCTGCTGACTGCAGAGGGAACAGCTGACAGCCAGCGACAACCACTGCCCAATGTCTGTCTGACGCCACCAGCACGGGCGCTCCCGAACACCCCGCAGAAGATCAACAGCGTTTGTCCATCACCCGGACAACAGCGCAATCCATTTCGAAATGATGGGATCTGCCCTCTAAGCACTCATGGAGGTATAACAAAGACGAATTTCTCAACTCGAAATTCAGTTAACGACTTTAATTGAATAATGGGTACTTTTTTGCTGACATAAATTTGCTTTTAGTGCTCGTCACGAGAAGCAACATAAACAATACGACAGCTTTACAACACATCGAGAACAGCAGCTTAATGTTTATTCCTCCGACACCAAACAAGCGAGTATGCAGCCAGCAAGGCTTTAAGGCGGGAACTACTTGTTCAGGGAACTGGTCGCCTTTGCTCTCCCATGCGAGAAAAGGCTCTGAAGAAGTTTTGAATGCTTCGCACTCTACTAGTGGGTCGCCTTCTGATAAGCGCACATATTTTTCGATTGATTTGAATTTGAAGAGCCGAAACACCGCCGTCGTTGGAGCAATGTCTTCTTGTTCATCGTCTTTGTCGATCCCTCCAGACACTGTGCTGTCTCGAAGCGGTGCCAGCGTCCCAAAAGGAATGTTTTCACCACAGCAACGTCACAGTCGCAACCCAGGGAACCTGTCGTTGGACTTATCGCAAGTTGATCAAACGAAAATCGACACAAGTACGACGGGAACTGGAGGCTTGCAGCGGCGAAATGATCAGGCGGCTGTGTGCTCAAAGCTGACGGATTTTTTGTATATTGGTGGAGCTGTCGCTGCCAAAAGCAAGTCGATGCTTCTTCAAAATGGCATTACGCATGTCATTAACTGTGCCGCCAGTGTCGCTCCAGCATCGTATCCAGATGCATTTTGCTACTTTAATATTCGACTTCGAGATCATTCATCGGAAGATATTGCGCGTCACTTTTACAGCCTGTTCGACTTTATAGAGCGGGCTCGAGAGTCCGGGGGACGAATTTTTTTGCATTGTGTTAAAGGCATTTCCCGTTCCCCAACAATGGCTATAGCGTACTTGATGTGGTACAAAAACATCGGCATGTACAAGGCGCTAGATTTGGTGCGTCAGGTACGCCCAGTCGTCGATCCGAATGCTGGATTCATCTTCCAGTTGACCGAGTGGGAAAATATCCATCCAAATGGCAGGATCAAATTTCAGAAAACAGTTGTTTTTCAGATTGACGTGGCGTATGCTTATCTTGATTCAAAATGCTTTAAAGATAGTGCTACTGTGCCGAATACGCCGCTATTTTTGGGTCCTTTGACAAGCATCAACGAACATTACTTTCGTGACCCGACTCAGGATATTGGTGAATTGTGTTTGATTGTAGCATCTGCCAACTATATGTTCGTTTGGTGTGGTACCGACGTTAATGAAGACCAGGTGAATGTTGCCGAACGTGGGGCGCAGATTTTGCAGCGTTATGAAGCGTTTCCTAGAAAATGTGACACTGTGTTGCAAGGACAGGAGCCTGTGGCTTTTTGGGACCTGGTTGGTGGTGAGATCTGAGATTAAATTGCGTACAATTAATATGTGCAGCAGTTAGTAGTGATGTCAAATGCACGGCTTCAGTGAGCCATAACAGCTGACTTGGTTGGATCGCAAGTTTACCTCGTGTCGCGTTTTATCAAATAACTATTTATCGACGTTTAAAGTATTTTGTTTTCTTTACTCATTCAAAAGTACAGTTTTTTTAAGTCAACTTATCTTCCAGAGATACATTGTTTTATGTCAGTTTGTGTTCGAGTCCACTTATTTGATGCTTTGAGCAGTACTTTGTAGTTTATGATGTCAAATATCTGAGCTTTATAGAAGAGAAAATTGGCAGCTAGTTCCCACTTAGACAAGCGTGTAAGTTGGGCACCTCAAACGACTTGTCCACCTCCACAAACCCTTGTTGAGCTGTTTGAAAAATGAGAGCAAAAGGCTACATAACTTGCGTCCTGGTGTGACTTCAATATTTTCCGATACGAATTTGCTCATGCGAAGATTCGTACATCAGTGCTGCATATGGTCCTGCGAGAATCTTCTGATTGTGGTTTTGAAGCTGGCGGACGACCTACTCCGGGAATTTGAGGATGCCTGGCATTTAATCAATTTCCATCGCTCTTCTAGAGAATCTACGGAAGTTAAAGCGAGATTTTTTCTGCAATCAGCGCAAGAAAACACGATCGATCCGCTTGAGCGAACCCACAGCAGTAGGGCGTAATCTTTCAATAGCCCTCGAGGTTATGAATATCGGACAATTTGGCCATTACAGAATTGCTTGTGAGACCTCAAAATTCCATTCGTCTTCGAATGATTAGGCATCTGGATTTCGGAGACCATGTAAATGTTTTAGAGAAGGTAGCAAGTTTTTCAGCATACTGCTGTATATATATGAGATTCAAGGACTGAATGATGACCTACTCAAGTTAAGCGCAGAGCTAGACGTTAACCTGATAGTTCCTGGTACACAAACCCAAGGGATAGTTTAAAAATGGCTCAACAAAAATGCACTGGATTACGTTGTCCATGATGCTAGCTGCCGATTCGTAGCTTGGGACATCTTCTTAAAAATAAAACTGCTCAGACTGTTGCCATTTTGCATGCTGATGAGAGCACCACCGACGGTCTTGAGCAACCCATTTCGTACTCACATGATGCAGATGTCACTGCCAAGAATCATTTGAACTACGAACAATTCTTAGGCCATTGCAATCTCGCAGGATGATGGGAGCATTGACAACGAAGAAGGTTATCAGACCATAGCAGCCTCACACATAGAGGAGATTACTATCGAGAGGAGACGAGAACAGCGTCTTTGTAGGCCGGAACATTAGCCAAGTAGTGGGCGCTGTCGAAGTGTCTGATGTTTCTTGAAAGTTCGAGCGCACAATTTGCTTCATTAAAAAAATATCACATTGATCAAAATTGCAGCATTACGGCGACTTTGTTGTCCTTCTAGATATTGCTTGGGAGTTCCAAGTTGCTGACCGTAATGTTCCGGCTGCAAAATAGGCGCTAGCCAAGGACACGACTTTGTCGTATGCTGCTAGGAAATCTAAACACGATTTCGCTTTGATCGCTGGTGCAGCTAAAGACTGTATGATTAATCATTAATTGAGCATGTGGACGAAATTGTAAGATAAATATATATAAACCAGTATTCGTTTCCTAAAAGTTCATATTCTGACGACAACAATCCTCCACGATAATGTCATTCATCACAACCATAATGTCGTCAAGTCAGAATACGTTCATACCCATGTACGCAGACTTCGTGCTGTTGTGTCCCGCAAAATAACCCTTGTCATACTTTCTTGATACGAGCAGAGAAGTTGAAAAAGATCTACCAGCAATATACTTTACGGCGTACTCGTTAATTTTACCACTTCTTACTAACATACGTATATGTGCTTTTCATACATAAAGCTCTGCAGATAGCTTAAGCCCAAGAAATCTGCGCACATGGTCGTCATCAGCGATCCCTCGGATCTGCAGTAAATGATGCAAAAAATCTTGTAATTGGTCTTTGCGTCTAGCTAAGAAGTCTGGATTGAGGTCTCGGCAGCAATAGGTCTTAGGCGGTAACTCAGGCAGTTTGCCTGCTTTAAAGCGCACACTGACGAATAGGGTCGTCAGGACCGAATTTTATTGATGCCAGAGTCTCGTACCTCGCAAGTAGTTCGTCAAACTCACTAAAACGACGCAACCTCTTCCAACTGCGTCGTCCATTCTGAATTTGCAACTCATACGATGCGTACTTTTCCTCCATCACCACATAGTTGATAATGGCGACTGTGAAGTAGTCTGTACCTATTTAAAGCCGAGTACATCAGTGACTTTGCAAAAGTTTGCATTCATACCCGAGCGCACACCGTAGCGAAGTGACCACGAGTCCTCAGGCAAGTACACGAGCGACATGCCAATGCTTGATTGTATCCAATCTGATTCCAAAATACTTGATTATATTGAATTCTGTCCAATTAGCAGTTTTATGGCTTTTCTAATCCAATCAACTGCCGTTCTGCGACAGCACGTTGTGACGCCGGATGGAAGTAGAACTAGCGTGAAGAAGGCACTGCATTCAAGTTGTTCCTTTGTCTGCGGCGTCATGCAGGTTTACGTGCGTCTGCACGATACCATCGATGCCTACGAGTGGACACGTGGAGTCATTTTACGTCGCCTAGAGACCGACACCTCTAAAGTCCTCGTGCAGCTTCAAGACAGCAACGTCACGGTTGAAGTAGATGAGGCTCAAGATATTCGCGTCATAAATGAGCTGACGGGATCTCAAACACTTGCAGATGTAGAAGACTTGGACACACTTGCACACTTACACGAGCCCGCATTTGTCGACTATTTGGCTCAGCGTTACGGCGTTGACCAGGTCTACTGTAAGTCCGGGGCCGTGCTCATCGCTGTAAATCCTTTTAAGGACATTGTGGGACTTTACGACTTGCAAAATTTTCACAAGCAAATACTTAATTCCACTGCACTGCCGCCACATGTATTTTCAATAGCCGAAAGAGCTTACCGCTCGTTGCGTCGAGCACTGAACGAGCCAGAGGAGAACAAGAAAAATCAGACAATTCTTGTGAGTGGAGAAAGCGGAGCAGGTAAGACGGAAACTACCAAGTTTATCATGAAATATTTAGCTCAAAGTGGTAGAGTGACGACTGAAAACCGTGACAAGAGCAAGCGTGCAATCAGCAGCAGTGAACTTATGAGTGCAAATCCAATTTTGGAGTCATTTGGCAACGCCAGGACCTTGCGTAATAATAATAGTAGTCGCTTTGGAAAGTTTGTGCGAATGTTTTTCGAAAAACACGGACTGAAAACATCGTTAGAAATAGTAGGAACCTCAGTGGAGACGTATCTCTTGGAAAAAGTGCGTGTAGTGCATCAGCAGGATGGGGAACGAAACTTTCACGTATTTTATGAACTGCTAGCAGGTGCAAATGAAGAAATGAAGAGAGCATTAAAGCTGGAAAATCTATCGGCTAATTCATTCCAGTATATCAACGGTGGACGATGCTTTCAAAGAACTGATGGTGTTCGTGATGAAAAGCAGTTTCAATTGATGTTGCAGTCCATGAAAGTATTAGGCTTCACGGACGTTGAGCAAGAAGCAATCTGGAAAATCTTGAGCGCATTACTACATCTTGGCAACGTCCTTTTTGTATCGTCGGAAGAAGAGAAAAGGATAGATGAGCAAGGTAGTGAGTCGGCACCCTGTCGATTGGCATCAAGATCGCCATCTTCGCTTTCGGCACAAACGCATCTGAATATTGTTTCAAATCTTTTTGCCATAGATCAGCAGGAGCTGAAATCAGCTCTGACTAAACGCAGAATTTGTGTCGGTGGTGAAGTTTTTCATTCGAATTTGAGCCTTCTTCAATGTGGAGAAACCCGAGACGCCATGGCTCGCTCATTGTATGCATTTGTATTCAACTTCCTGGTCTCGAAACTTAATTCAGCGTCACCAAAATTTCAGCAGTTTACGACTTTGACAAGCAAGCCAGGTAATAAAGAGATTGCACCATGCATTGCCGTTCTCGATATCTTCGGGTTTGAAGAGTTTGACGTGAATCAGTTTGAGCAATTTTGCATTAATTATGCGAATGAAAAGTTGCAATATCAATTTATCCAGGATATTCTCTTGACCGAGCAGCAGGCGCACATTGACGAAGGTATCAAATGGAGAGCTGTGGATTACGAAGATAATTTGATGTGTCTGGAAATGGTCGAACATCGTACCTGTGGCATTTTTTCTCTTTTGGACGAGGAATGTGTTGTTCCGAAAGGAAGTGACACGGGTTTTGCTCGAAAGTTATATCAACGATTGCAAGATCACTGCAATTTTAGCGCCACAAAAACAGATCAAGCTGACTTTGCGTTTCATGTTCATCACTATGCGGGTGCTGTTCGCTACCAAGCAGAAGGATTTTGTGAGAAGAACAAGGATCAGCCTAATGCTGAACTATTAGACATTCTGAGTCAAACGAGTAACTTGTATTTGCGTGAGCTGTTTGAGTTCTTTAAATCGAGCGAATCAGCAGAGTTGCAAATTGGGCCACCGAAGCTAAGACGGCGATCTTCCGTGCTAAGTTCTGCTGGTATTGGCTCACAATTTAAGCAGCAGCTAGCTGGTCTTATGGAAGTTGTGCAACAGACTCAGACACATTATATTCGCTGCATCAAGCCAAATGATGTTGGTGCAAGTGATGAATTCGACAGAACGAAGGTGTCGAGTCAATTACGTTACGGCGGGGTTTTAAAAGCCGTAGAGATTCTGCGCCAATCCTTTCCAGTTCGTATGAGCCATGCTGACTTCGTGAAACAGTACCGCGTATTGGCGTCGACAAATTCTGGCTTAAAGGCCAAGGTCGCATTAGATTGTACGGCTGGAGATCTGATCGAAGCACTTGACATCGACCAGACAGAGCTTGGTAAAACTCGAGTATTCTTGCGTCAGCAGGCCTTTGACCGACTTGAAAAACGACGCGAACATGTAATCGCAAAATCTGTCATGAGACTACAAAGTTTGTGGCGGGGCAGACAGCAGCGTCGGATATACATCAGGCAAATTCACTCACTTGAAAGTATCCAGGTACGCTGGAAAGCCATCTTGCGAGAGAAACGACGTGTCGCTCGACGAAATAAAGCAGCAATTGTGGTGCAATATTCAGTACGATGCTGGATCCAAGCGACTAAACGCCATCGTGACCGAAGCGCAGCTCTGATTCAGTCTGTTTTCCTAAAGTGGCACCAAGCTCGGGTCGCACTGTCGAGAACGACACCTGCTCGAAGTGCAAGACAAGACGACAAGTCTGAAGACTTAGTCGGCTACAGTGGTCGCGAAAGTGAATTGACGATTGAAACTCTGGAAAATGATGCGCTTTCTACCGCTACAGCTTCAGTCGGAACAAGCGCATACTCAGATGATCTTGAGCTTTCACCTTTAGATGCCGTTCGACACCGTAGACGAATAGATGATGTGGTGGATGGGTTAAATGATGGAGATGTGATGCTGAAAAAAGCATTACGGGAGGTTGAGCGGCTTCGTCGTAGAGCAGAAGCTGCTGAAGCTGCGCTCTCACATTTAGCAGGTCGAAGTGTCGATCCAAATTCTGACAGAACATTGTCTATGGTTTCAACCAGAGCTACGTCGCATGGCAATAGCACATTGGATACTTTTTTGGACAACCATGGTGCAAATAACAGCAGCAACATTTTGTGGCGTCAAATGAATACCTTAAATTTCAGGATTGATCGATACGGTAACACCGTGCTGCACCAGGCTGTGGATAAAGGTAACGTCGAGCTTGTTTGCGCGCTTCTCATTAATGAGGTTAGCGGTGCACTTGAGATGCTGCAACAAGCCGAGACGCTGTACGGGTTCTCTCCATTGCAGCTCGCGGTTCGAAGTGGCAATCTAGAGATGGTAAGTCTTTTCTTTCGTCCGGAAGTACTTCCACGCCTCGACTTAAATTTCTCGGATCGGGAGGGAAATACAGCGTTGCACGTGGCCACTCAGCTAGAGGTTACTTTAGCATCGCGCGTGCTTGAGTTGCTACTGTCCTTTGGTGCTGACGCAAACAAAGCAAATTTTGTAAAGCAAACGCCATTGCACCTCTGTTCGATGATCAAGCGTAGTGGCTCAGCAACGTGCGAGATCATGGAGACCCTCTTACGGCACAAAGCGGACCCGCGTAAAGTTGACTTCCTCAAGCGCTCACCTCTGCATTATTGTATGGAAAAAGGTGATCACATAGAATCAGTAATTGGAGGCACATGTACTAAACGAGATGGTATGTATGATGTTTGTAGAAATGGAGAATGAGGCTGTGCTTTTGATGAAGTATGGAGCGGACATGAATTTACCCGATGTAGAAGGTGTGCGAGTCGTGACGAATCCTAAAGCTACAAGGGTGAGTCAAATTGTTCGTTTAAATCATGCATTTGATGACGTGACTGCTCCTGTTTCTTGCTCAGCTCTTGCGATACCTTTGTGTGACGCCATCTTGGATTCCAGACAGTGACGTAATTGACTGCATGGTCTGTCTGGAGCCATTTCCATTTTTTTTTTCGGGCCGATATCACTGCGATCGATGCGGTCGCATCTGCTGCTCTTATTGTGCACCTTCAAGTTCTTCTTGGAATGGCCGCTTTTGCTTCGATTGCAAACACTATGCACATTACCGAGGATGAAGAAGTTTACACGAAGTTAAATATTATATTATGGGAAGTTTTGATTACAAGTGCTGAAAAATAAAGATTTTGCTTTGAGTCTCAATTTTCTTAGAGTTACTGTCTGCTTAAGTAACCGCCAATGCTAGGTCGGGTTATGGTCTTTTAAGATTAGCGACAATTTATACACTATATAAAAATAAAGGCCATTGATACGTGCAATTCAGTTGGGCAAGCCTACTAGACCAAACTTGCAACGGGGTTGCCGTGTGCTCGTACAGAGGAAGCTTTGGCTCGACGTATCAAGGTCAACAATTCAGAGAGGATGGGATCGTACGCTCATCTCTAAAATCGAGAACCGTAACAAGTAATGAGGTAATTGATATCAAGATTGGCGAATTATTTATAATTACCTTTAGCTCAAAGTAATACTATATGTATATAATAACTCTTATGCCGGTAACTCATAACCTTGGGAAACTAATACAATTTGTCCCACCAAGCTTGCCAAGTACAAACTGATAAAAATTCCTGTAACTAGTAATTCATAAATATTTCCCCACAAAATCCGAGGGATTATCCCATACAGCATACGTCGATGGTTTTTTTTATTTTGGCGCTTCCAAGCAGGGTGCTGCATGGGTCGTGGGTTACCCAAACGGAATTCGTGGGTTTGGGTAATTTGCCAATACCCATGCGACCCACTGCCCATGCAAGCTCGAACGCTGGAACCCTTGTAGTAAAAAATTTCATGCCTTCACCAACGAGACTGCAAACAGCTCGGACAACGAGAACATAAACGTCAACTGCTCTTTGCAAACGGTCCGATCCTACGCTACGTCGACGCCAAGTTTCCCGTATCCAAACTGGCCAGGTCTATCGGTTCACAGGACCTGAGGCCGCTGCTGACAATGCTGATGAAGAGGACGACTTACCAGTGCTATCAGACCCAGCCCAGGATGAGAACGATGGCGGTTCACAACCAGACGATATGGTTGGTGAGGAGGACGAGAACAGTGTTGCGTTGACATCGAAGAAGGCCTTAGAGCTTTTGGAGAAAGATGGGCTGCTGCCCGGGCGCCCCCGACAACTTTAAACCAGTCCGGCATGGAAGGAGTTAATGATTTTGACAGATCTCTTTGGGGATGAAACAGCATTCTGTGTCTGCACTCGGTGTTCTAGAACCGTTGTACGTTTTCGTAGTGAGAAGGGTTCTCTTTCTGGAACAAAAAATCTCAACCGCCACCTTGAGGTTTGCACCGGAGCAGACACAA